CACATCTCTGGCCTGTACCCCAGTTCTGTATGAATAAATAAATAAATCTTTAAAAAAATATATATATTTATGGACAATTTAGATTTCTACAGAGTTGATTACAATTACAGAACAGACTTAAAATATCAGGGTTCTGAAAAAAAGTAAACCAAGATTTTAAAAACTACTAAATATATGAAATCAAGAATATAAATGAAAAGCAGGTACACTGCTTAAAGTGAAAGAAGAAAATCTTACTGTTTTCCTTACTGTTGTGAAAAGAGATGAGACCAATATCTTTTTCTCAGAATCTGTTACAACATTACTGTGTGGTTATCACTTCCTTAAAATATTAATTGTTAGCATGCCTTTTGCAGCACCATGGAAAAGATCGTGCTTAGTGAAATAAGCCAGAAAGCAAAGGAAAAATACTGGACGGTTTCACTCACAGCAGGAGTATAAAGGACCAGAGGAGAAAATAATAATAATGAACAACTATGTACCACAGACATTTTGTGGGGGTGGAGTGGGGAATGGGATCAAAAACAGTGGGGGGAGGGAAATGCACTGGACTATGGTGATGACGGGTGATTTGATGATGGGGAAGTCACAAAATGATGTAAAAACAAACTATTATATTATCAAAAAATATATCAGGTGTTAGGCCCAATCTATGGGTATTCCATCTTTTATTTTAGGTTAGCAGAAGAAAGGCAAAATTACTGTTCATTTTTGTCTACAGTAGGCTTCATTTATGTGATAAGAACTGTATTGTTTGCTAACTAACCCAAGTAAGGCACATCAACCAAGTTCTAAAACAATGACATCAGAAAAGACTTCTACAAACACAATTTTAAGAATAATTTAGGACTCTTATGAGTACACCAATATACCTTAGCAAGTGATTTTACAATAGGGTTCTCCATAATTCCCTTGAGGAAAATTAAGTCTATTTCTTCTGCTCCTGTAGATGAAGGCAGCTCCGTAAGGTTATCCAACACTTGCTGCATTGCTGTGAAGATAAAAGCAACATTAAAAAAAAAAAAAAAAAAAAACCTTAAATTTCAAATCATTATGGAGTAAGATGATAAAATAATGCAAATGAAAAGATTAACAACAGTTTTAAAAAGTTACATTTTAAAAAACTGAATTGTTAAACACTGTAAGTTTTAAATTGCCTTTCCATGACAGATTTTCATGTGCACTTGGGCTTTATCAGATAGTCTGATATATACTTACAACCTCATACTTTAAATTTTGCAAATTTAAAAACAACTCAAAAAGTACAAATTTTAACATATAGAGAGAAATTACAGTAGTAAACAGACAAGCTCAAAGCCAGTGGCTTCACTGATGCACTCTACTGAAAATTAAAAAATTAAAGACTGTGCTACTAAATCATGAAAAACAATGAACACATGAAAAGGGTTGTATACAATGACTAACTGCAATTTAATCCAGGTAAACACAGACGGGCTTCATCAATACAGGATGTAATAAATCTGTGTTAACAGAACAAAAACCAAAACCACAACTCAAAAGACATAGAAAATGTATTTGACAAAATCCAATATCCTTGCATGATAACAACACTAAGCAAACTAGACATAGAAAGGAAATAACCTTAGCTTAATAATGAACATCTATGAAAAACCCACAGCTAAGACCATTGCTAATAGTGAAAGACTGGATGCTTGCCCATAAGTCCATGAACAAGACAAGATGTTCACTCTTAAAATCCTTATTAACAATTGTATTAAAGGTTCTAGTCAGGGGTAAGTAGGAAAAAAAAAAAAGGCTTTCAGTCTGCAAAGAAATAAGTAAAACTCTTTCTCACTCTGCCTCTTTTTTCACAAATGACATGATACTGTATATAGAAAATCCTTAAAAATGTAAAATCAAACCTTCTCAAACCAGAGAGTTTGGTAAAGTTGAAGGATATAAAGCTCAATAAACAAAAATCGATTATATTTCTATATGCTATCAAAGAGCAATCTGGAAATAAGGTTAAGAACATCATTCCCTTTACAAGAGTATCAAAAGAGTAAATAGTAATAAATATAACAACAGTACAAGACTTGTACACGGAAATTGTAAAACATCACTGAACAAACTAAAGAGCATTATTTTCTAAATAAATAGAAAAAAGCCCATATTGATGGGCTGGAACACTTAATATTATTAAGATGCCAATGTTTCCCAAAGAGAGCTGCAGATTTAAGGCAATCCTGCATCTAAATCTCACTTGCCATTTTGCTGTTGTTTGCAGAGACTGATAAAACTGATCCTAAAATTGTATGAGAAATGTAAGGAATCCAGAACAGTCAGTTAATCTTCAAAATGGACAAAGCTGTAGACCCATGCATAAACTTACTGGAAAGCTAAATCTTAATTAATAATAGAATGTATTTAAGGACATAAAGATAAACATAATTAAATGAGAGTTTAGAAATAAATCTGTACATTATAGCTAATTGGTTTTCAACAAGGATGGCAGGACAATTCAGTAAAGGAAAGAATAGTCTTTCAAAAAACAGTACTATGAAAACTGGAGAGGCATAGTGAACCAACACTCCTATATCACCCACCCTTCCTTCCAATTTATCCAATTTCCAGAAGGCATCTGTGCCTACAATGAGAACCTGAGCTATCAGAAGGCCCTGACTATAAGCTAGTCACCTCAGTCAAGTACAAAGTGGGAGCTCTCATTGACAACACCAGCTAGCAGTCAAAGACCTAAAGCCCAGTCTCTTGAAGTGTCCCCCAAAACCATCAGGTAACATACCTCTTATCCCCCAGTCAGAAAAGTAAGCATCTTAAGTACTTCCTTGAACTGAGGAGCTTGCTTAAAGGACAATTCTAATACGCTGGGAAGCACTGTCATGGAGTTGAAGGGTTCTCTGTGCTGATGGTGCCAGATACACAGTAACGTGCCTGTCCAGCTGGCCCAGACTGAAACTCGTCATTTTCTGCCCCTTTTCTAAGTCTCAGAACAGTCTCAGAACAGCAGGTAAGACTTAGTTTTCTCTTGGTTGTAATTTTTTCTGAAGTTGAATTTAATGTTATTCTTAATGTCTCTGTCAAAGCTTAAAATTCCTCCCTTGGTTTTCAACATAATTCACCTGCTATTTAATCCCAAAGGTGAGAACTGGAAGGTGGTCTATCTACCCTTTCATAGGGTGAGTAGGAATTAGTGGCAAGGTTGGATGAGGTCCTGGGTGAATTAACTAACCCTGTTGCTCCACTTAACCTACGAAGTTAAACAGTAAATAGAACTTCCCTGATTACCAATGAGTTGGTCTTTCTTTGTACACTAGTTATCTAAAAAAATGAATGACTAAGAACATAGCTTTTGTATGACTGAGTTATCTTAAGACATAGGGAAATATAAAGTTACAACAAAAAATGAGAACCATATAAAATATTAAACATAAATCTATAATAATCAGACATGAATAATTTACAAGGTAACTAGTTCTAATTAGTAAAAGCTTACTATTTGAAATAGGAAGCTTTGTAGTAGGGTCTTGCAAAGTTGTTTGGGAGCCAAAGAAGATGCTCAAATTACTTAGAGATTCCATGAAGAAAAACAAAGTTCCAAAAATCAGAAAGTAAATGACCTAAAAGTTCCACTCCTCTGTTAACTACTCGAAGATGAACCTTTTAATCAAAAACTAGAATCAATGACATATAAATGAGACCCTTATGTAAGCTAGAGATATTTGATATATTTAATCTAGACCCTTCAATTACAAATATGAATAAACCACTTACAAAAAACTCATAATGCACTACAAAGAAATGATAATTAGGGTAAAAGAGAAAAGCATTAAAAGAAAACAAATTAAATTATAACATGGAAGATTAAACTGAAGAATTCTCCCACTACAAGAGGGTGATAAGAGGGCAAGTTTGAGAAATCCGTCATGGACCATAAAAGACCAAAATTCACAAGATAATGGGAAATCCTGAAATAGGAAAAAGAAATAAAAGTGAAATTTAGATGGAAACCCACAGATTTTCAAAAGCTAAAAGACAAAAAATGTGGAGCTAGTCTTATTAATAAAGGAGAAGACAAGTAACACTAGATGAGAAAATTATGGCAAGCAGAGACAAATAAGAGAAAACAATGAACAAATTTCTTTTAAAATCTAGTCATGTAGATTTTTTTTTTAAGATTTATTTATTTGTTCATACAGAACAGGGGTACAGGCTAGAGGCTCAGGGGCAGCGAGAGGCTTCACCAGACACAGAGTGGGGAGCAGAACAGGCAGATCAACGAAGTACACTGCTGAGGGGAGCAGCGGGGGGGTCAGGAGAGGTCTGCACGCCATGTGGTCACCTCCGGGGCAGGCGGGGATCGAACTCATGCAGAAGTGGCTTTAGCTTCTCAGTGCTGCGCTTTAACCCGCTGCGCCTTAACCTGCTGCACCACCAGGGAGGGCCCATGTAGATTATTTTTTAGAAAAATGTCAGTAAGAAAGTTTAGGGGAGAGAAGTAAAATAGAAATGGATCATAATAGAAGATATTGAGAAGCTTTTCAAAATTCACCCTTAAAAAAGGGATTAGGCTCAGATTTATTTAAGAATTAATTCTATCTAACCTCCAAGAAAATGTTTTTTATGTTTTTACGACAAAACACAGAAAAGACTTGAAAACTTTCCAACTTCAATGTAGATTTCAAAATTCAACTAAAAAAAGAAAACAATATACTAAACTCACTTTATAAAAAAAGAAAATTATAGGGCCTTCCTTGGTGGCACAGAGGGTTAAAGCATAGCACTAAGAAGCTAAAGCCACTTCTGCATGAGTTCAATCCCTACCTGTCCCAGAGGTGATCTACATAGTGCAGCAGACCTCTCCTGATTACCCACTGTTCCCTTAAGCAGTGTACTTCATCGATCTGCCTGTTCTGCTCCCCACTCTGTCTCTGGTGAATCCTCTCACCACCTCTGCACCTCTGGCCTGTACCCCAGTTCTGTATGCACAAATAAATCTTAAAAAAAAAAAATGAGTAAGCGAAGAAACCATGTTCTATGATGAAAAGATTCAATTCTACAAAATGCCAATTCTCTCCAAAATTATTCTTTTAAAAAGGGAATAAATCCTAATAGAAATCCTAACAGAATACTTTGGTAAAGTTATTTCACAATTCTTACTTGAAAGAGAAAATATATAAACCTAAACCAATATATTTGGAAAAAAGCACTAATGTAAACAAGGGACATGTGCCAGTGAGTGTAAAAGTGCTCTAAGTCACAGGCTACAGAACAGGTACCACCACAGACAAACCTTCACAGAACAGCTACATGTGATTCAACATGCTAATGGAGGGTGACGTTTCAAATGTCATGGCTAGGGCTGTTACTTATGGTCGATTGACTACTTAGGTTTACATTCCTTCCCTTCAGAATCACTATTAAAATAGCAGTTAAGTTTAATTAAGAAACAAAGGTAATAACTAACATGAAAAAGAAAATGGGCAAGAATAATTGAGACTTTGAAAGTGTTAAGAATAAAACTTAGAATTTACTTTTTACTTTGTTCTAACTCCTAAATATTTGAAGAACCCTACAATTTCTTTCTGTTATCCCTTCCTGAATCCTAGTCACCATCATTTCTTGTCCATACTACATCAGGAACCTCCTATCCTTCATAAGGAATTATTATGTAAATTTCATGGACTGTAAGCCTTGTTAGATTCCATCTACACCACCGTTTGTAATTATGACTACTCCAGTCTTTTCCCTGTCCTGATGCAAAAATCCTGGCCTGCTTGAAACAGAAATGCTGCTGTGACAAAAGGACATCTCTCTCTTCCTGTCCCACCAGACTCTCTAGATTTAACCACCTCGTTTTCTTACAAGGGAAAAACAAAACAAAACAAAACACTGAAATTGCCTACCACCAGATGATAGGAAAGCAAGCTGGCACCGATTGAAGCTCCCTAAAATCTCCAGATGCCTGTGTCAATGAGAATAAACATGCTGCCTCTTGGTCATTCCCCTGTT